CCGCAAAGGGACATGGCGCCATCAATGACAGACCTCTCCGCTTCCCACGCCGAAATCTAGATAGGGGAAAGCTTCACTCAACGCTGCGGTCCCGCGTATCTAGGGTATGCTTCCATAGCGATGATGATATGGTCTTGTTCACCCCGACGCGTTATCTTGCCTTTATTCAGTGCTGTTTCCCTACGGCTTTGCGTTTAGACCCTATGAGACGCGAGAGGGGAATGCGGATTCTTTCCTCAGCTGCCAAGTTTGTGATACCCGCGGGGTACGTTTTGGTCTCGACAAGGTACGCTCTGTGAGGGCAAATGTTCCACAACATGGGGTTGGCCGCAGGAATATATACTTGATTTCTGTGTTGCTGATAATGCCAAACGCAAAGTCGTCAATTTAAAAACATGTAATGAATGCTTCCGCACCGAAGTACAATGGCGGTCAGGTTAGCACATGAGACCACAGCGTCATATCATATTGGGCTTGCATATAGATGTATCTGCAGGTTAGCGCGCTTCGATGGTGCTTCCAACGAATGTTCTATGCGCTAATAAGCTACATAAGTTAAGTCATGGTGATGGGTTGCTGGCTGCTGGGATGAGGCGAACCGGTCGGTGCGACAGCCAACTGGAACATGCAGACACGAGCTAACAAGTTAGTGGACAAGCAACTTGTCACAGGAAACTTCTGAGGGGCGAGGCGGAAGGAAGGGGATGGGCTGGACCTTGGGGTTGACGCATCCCTTACAGAGAGGACTCGGGCTCAAAGTAACGGTGGATGCTTTTTTAGACAACCGCGATTCAGCTGATTCATTGTGAGATCATCAGCGGCAGCCCGTGTTCCAAGGCCAAGGGTGAGTTGTCCTCTTTGCCCATACAGAAGGGCTCATCGTGCAGCCTTCTTTAGCTGGATGAAATACCACATGGAAGCAAACAACAGGAGCCATTCGGGACTCTGCACACAAGACGAGGGAGTACATCAACAAAACCAGGAGAACCATGCGAGTTTAGGATCTGGCATAAATAGCAATAATTAGCTCACCGTTAATAATGAGATGGATTTCAGGTATCGTGGGTCAATGCTCTTATGGTAACATATCCATTGTAATATCAACACAACACAACGGAACCAAGTCCGACCTTTCCTGACTGTACAGTGTACAGTTACTCACGACAGAAGCCCCTTGCAGAAAATCATCATTCTCGAAGTTTACAAGTCGGGCAACCATATCGCCTGGATCCGACTAAAACGCCACACAGCCCTTCAGATCGTTTTCCAACGACTCGTGATCTTTAGATGGGTGCTTGGCATTGGCAATTTGACAGTGATTTTTTGGCACGGACCCCTTGCATCTGTGCCCATAGCGGCCTGCTTGTGGCTTCGTTAGCTCGCAGAGCAACAAATCGCAAATCGTGCTCGGAATGCCCTACAGCTCTCGGCTCCTCTTTCAGCCTGGCATGCTATCTCGTCTGTAGATTCGATTCGCGGGAAGCGTTTGCTTTTGCCGTCACGTACATGTATCCAGTCAGGGCAATGAGGACTTCTCTAGGGACGGCTGGTGCCTTCATTTTTTTCTTGTTTGACCTGATTTCTTGTCCCTGGTCTATTTTCCATATATCTCTGTGCTCAAACAATATATATATATATGTATATTCAACCGGTAAACTGGCAGCTATTATGAATAGCAACTCTCCCGTCTGTAGAAACCTACCTGCATGTGGGCATGGTAGTCTTTCAAGGTACGTGACAGTTGCTGTCACGTTTCTCCCACGTGGCCAACTATCTGCTGTGCTCCCCGTCCGGGGTTAGGCCAAAAACAAACTACTAAGCCAAGATCAGTTGAGCTCTTGACTAGGTGGTCGAGGTCCTCTTCCATGGACTTTTGAACTCGACCAACTGGTGTGAAAATTCGCAAATTGGTGGATTTCTCAAGACATGACTCAGGACACTGAAATATTTCGCGTCGATCTCCCGAAACCAGTCAGCATATGTTGGCTTGTCAGACCTAACACGAGAGACCGGGTAAATCAATCTCGATGATTTACGGCACATAAAATATTAGCTGCGAATCACCCCTCACTTTATGCACGACTACAGGGTGAAACCATGCTGGGAAAGCATCACAATTGTATCAAACTTTAAGTGTTCACAATCCTAGCGAGAATCACAAAATATTGTGTTTGATGGCCCGCCCTGCTTTCACTCGCCTAAAAGGCGAAGCTCAATGTTCTGCGTTGTATTGCAGTCGTCAACGTCGCTTCGTCTAGAATGACCGTTGGGATTGGTAGTGCTGCAGAGGCTATATGTGCTGTACTATATGATTTAAGTGCAGGGACATTGAAACTATTGCCTCGGACCCATCAGGTGTTTATTCCAATCCTCCGTACATCGCCAAGGTTCCTTTGGATGCGAGTGACCAGGTGTAGGACCTGCAGGACCTGTGATGGGTAACCGGTGAGAAGCATTCATATATGATGCCATATCGTGCAACTTGAAAGCCACTGATTCACATCTCATGCCGTGTCGGTTGCGGTAGCTCATCCTACCATCATTGCTATCGAAACTCAACGCCTGGAGTTACCGCATGTTTCTGACCTTTAACGTTTCATCCCTTCTTCCCCGGTAGGGACGCTACTTGAGCATATCCCAATTCCGAAGGAGCAGACATGGACCAGGGCCTTTAAACAAAGTGCCTCGAGCGTTTCGCCAGGCGTAGCGTTTCCACTGAGGATGTGCCATTTCACTCCACTCTGGTGCGGAGAGTCAACTCATTTGGGTACCTGGCTGAGACTTGCTGGACTTGATCGAATCGTTTCCTTCCGTGTCTGAGATGCAGCCCACTCGCCAGGTGCTGGGTTCGGATGACAGGACGAGATGCTAAGCTGATTTGTCGAAAGGTCCCGATATCACCTCAATCTGCTTCGGAATGGTCAGTGTCTCAATGTGGTCAGCGTGCCTGTATTGAGTTAGTGTCAACGGCACTGCGGCGGGTGCTATATCTCTTCTCTGTTATACCTTCGTCGAAGTTGTGCTTTGCTCAATGCCGACGCCAACCTACTAATGTACATAGATAGTCGTATGGGGTGCTACAGATGTCGCGTACCTCGCATACCCAAAATCTCGCTTGCTGATCCAAATACTTTACGCAAATCGGGCAGTAACAACTGTGGATAACTGAGCACAAGCATGCGTAGATATCTCCAACTCAGGTAGGTATGTCGATCCAAAGCATATGTACGTCGCATCTAGTCCAGACGTAGATTGTGACTGTACATAGCATAGACCTCTGGACCTTGTCAGCCAAGCTCATCAAGTGTCCACATGTTGGTTTGTTACAGTTTGATGAATGATTTTACTTTGATGTAGCCCTAGCCTCGGCTTGCAGGTCTCGTCTTGGAACTCACACTATGGCCATGGTCCAGGCATTAAGCTTTTCGAGGCAAATGGTATCAGCCGATGTATGGGGATCGCTTTGTTACAATAACCGTTAGCAATAGTACGGATACCTGTTTCGCCGAGCAAAGTGATCTTCGAATACATGTATAACTATAGAATTCTCGATGGCATGGCACTAAAAGATAATAATTCGTTTCAAAACTACAGTTTATCTTATTGATGGACGCGTCGTGACTACTGCCGATAGAGGACAACTGAACGAATTGCTGCTTCTGAAATAGACAACTGTAGTGTATTGAGCAGAATGACTCTTAGCTATGGTATTATGGTATTGAACTGACGTGACAAAGAACTGATACTTGGTTATTCCTCTACCTGACGAAGAAACCAGACCGTTGCTTCGTGACACTTCGGTTTCTCTTCAAGAGAATATCTTTAGAGTTCTTTGCATGCTTCTTCAACTTAGGTACCATCCTCTCATCTGTCTTTTTGGCAACGCGGTAGACAGTTGAGCCTACCCGCTCATCCCTAGGTCCCCTTTCCTGGCGGGCGAGGCTTCTTTCCACAGTGGCAACACGGCGTTTCCTTGGACGTTCCTCTGGTTGATCGTCAATCCCATCGTCCTCGTCCTCGCTGGAATCTGTCAAAAACTCGGCGGGTAACAGATTCACGGCTTTCCCTGCTTTGCTTCGTTGGATGAGCGACTGCGCAGGCCCCTCTTCAACGGACGCTTCTTCATTTGCTCCAGCCTTCTCTTGCTCCTCCAACTTCTTGCGCTCTTCAGCTTGCTGCTTGAAGAAATCATCCCTTTCCCGACGCTTACGCTTCTGTGCAGCAGCCTCTCTGGACGTAGGTTAGCAATTTCAGAACATGAAATAAGAAGACCGGCGAAACTCACTCCTGTGCTGCTTTCTGAGCTACTTGGTTGGATTTCTTGATATCAGAGGCAGCCTTGGAAGTCGATACGGCCTCGGGCGCTTCATCGTCACTTTCGTCTTCCTCATCTTTCTCTACCTGCACATCAGGTTTTGGAACTACCACAGGGGGAGCCGCCGGGTTGTCATTGTCGTCATCTCCAAAAACCACCTTGGTGCCCTTTGATTCCGTTAAAGTTGGCGTCGCACCGTCACTGGAGTCACCGTCTTTGGCTCTTACAGGCAGCTTGCGCTTTTCTTCCGATGTGTGTTTCTCCGCAGATGCATCTTTTGTTGTATTTTGGTTGTAGTTTCTCTTGCGCGTTTGAGGTGCCATCTTCGAGTATTTGTAGCTGATGAACAGCTTGCGGCAAATGTAAAGAAATGTGACTTAGGATGCTGATGCTTTCCAGCTGCAGGAAAATAAAATGTCAAAAATTATGAATCTAGCACGCTGAGCTGAATTTGGTTGTGAAATGTTGTTGATTAAGCTCTTCAAGATGTATGAAAAATTCAGTTTGAGATGGGTTTTTTGACGGGCATTTCTCCAACGCAAGATATGATTGGCACACTGGTGCCCCACACATTAAGTAGTGGCAGAATCTCACTTTACCTCACCTACTACTTGCGACTACTGGCGAAAAGGAGTATAGTACATAGCCAGACTGTCTCTTATTTATTAAGTACATGATCCAAAATATGTCGACTGCAAGGCTTCATATAAAATCTCGTAATGTTTACCAATTGCTACGTGGTGACTTGACATTACCATGTGCTCTTGTCGCACAGTCATCTCATCATGCTGCCCTGAGCACATTGAGCAATTCCATTAGGTATCAGACTCGCTCATATGCTACTCCCAAAGGCGCAAGGAAGCCTCTTCGCCCACCTCCTCGGGCACCCAAGCTTGTTAAAGCTCAGACAAACTCCAGCAGCCAGACTGATTTCGACCTCAGTCAAATCTCACCTATGGACTTCGAACTGGCTATGCGAGCGTCCGAGAATCAAGTTGGTAGTCTCAGACCAGACGAATATTACGAGTATGCATCAAGGTTCTCGAATGCCATAAGAAAGGGAGCACATCCTTCTAGTGTCAACCTCTCTGGCAAGTTCCCCCGGAGGAGCATTTATGGGCCCACTAACAACGTGCAGAGATCCAAATCCCAGTCGAGGCTGCACATGAGATGGCGTGCTTATTGTGGTTGCTCAGGAGACTAAAAGCCCATACTTCATTCTCGATGGCATTGTGGGCTTCAGCTTCAGGACTCAACTATAGTCCTGCGGTCGTCTCTCTCGCGAGCCAGCTCTTCGCCAGTGGATCATGGCGGAAAACAACTGCATTCGCAGATGCTGAGAATCGGTTCATGAAGCTCGTAGCTGAGGCGAAGAACTGTAATGCCCTTACAGTCTATGGCGAATACCTGTTCCAAGATGGAAAGTATGACCAAGCAGTGGCTATGTTGAACCAGGCCCTCAACGTTGACGATGGAGTCTTTGAATGGAAGCGGAAGGGCCTGATATGTCTCGCAAAGTCTTATGCCAAGCTTGGGAGAGCGCATGAGGCAAAGAAAACACTTGAGTTGTTGGGAGACTCAGAAGCAGACGCCGAGCTTGACCAGTTGCTTCGATCAAGTGATGCTGAGATGACACGTCAACAGTTGTACACAGATGCCGTCAAGGGCAAGCATGATTTGTTTTCACAGCTGGCCGAAGTGGAATTTGAGAGAGAAACCAAGGAGACGGATGTCGAACTGAAGAAGAACCATCATCTATGGGGTTTGGAGTGGTCGAGACTGGCAGACCCAGGTGCAAAGTTTTAGTGATATGGACATACATCAAGGGAAGACTCGGAGGTTGCTCCAACCCTACAAGTTACACTATGTTTATATCGGACTAACAAAATTGAGCACCTCTGTAGTGTATAGTAAGGAACTGACGTTACGGTCTTGAACGACCCTTCTGTTTTATACAGCCTGGTGAGCATCGACGCTCATGTCTTCTGCTTTTTTGTGGTATTCTCGCTGCTGTGCCGTCTACTGCTCCGTTTACTCATTGCTCGATCCCCATTTTCGATAGACTTTATTCCTTCGCCTTTCTCCTTCGCTTCATTATCCTCACGATCCCCTTCGTCGTCTGCATAATCAGCGTGCTCGCCATTATCACTCTCAATATCGCCTTGAATCTCCCCACGACCAGTAGGAAAGAGTTTGCGCCAGGTTCCATCAAGCGCCTGGCCATCATTCCCATGAAGACCAACCTGGTATGCAGTCTTCATAGCAGAGATGCACACGTCACGTCTTTTCGTAAAGTCAAACATTGGTTTCGGATATGTTCCCTCCTCGATACTGTTCAACCCATCGCCCTTTATGCGGACACCTGCCTTTTTCTGATCCGGGAGAGGGGCTTTCCACGGTTCATATATGTACTTGGAGTCCATATTTTTGAGCTCTGGCACATAACGACGGATGAAATTCCCTTCCTTGTCCCACTTCTGGCCAAAGGCTATCGGGCTATAGCAGCGGAAGTACTGTGAAAAGAAGGCCGTACAAGACAGCCACTGCCAGTTACCAGCATTGCAAGCCGGCTCATGGTCTATGAGCCATTCCTCGAAGACCTCGCACCCTCGCTCCCAGTCAATATAGCAACCGCCCCTTGTCAGAAAGCAAGCAACCGCATGCCGTCCCAGGTGATGGATCCAGCCTTCGTCTTTTAGCTGTCTCATTAAGGCATCTATCCAGGGAAACCCGGTCATTCCAACTCTCCATCTTCTAAACCAGATCTCTGCCTCCTCGGAGTCAATGTGATACTCTCCAGTAATGAGTCCCGTTTCCGAATCTCTTTTGGATGGCAAGTGCCAAGGAATGAAACGACAATACGGATTGTTCGCCGTCTGCGAGAAGACATAACCCAAAGCGGCTTGAGCGGCGAAGTACATGTCTCTGAAGAGTAGTTGACCAATAAGACTTTCTGGGGGGTTTGAAGCATCCTTGCCATACGAATCGACGATTTCCCTTACTCGCCAGTAGAACAAACGCACAGAAAGCGCCCCGAAGTGCAAAAATGGCGAGAGGAGAGTGGTAGCTTGTGGTTCGAATTGAGCTGGATTCGTCTTGGGTTTCTGGAAAGTTGCAGTGTATTTCTTATCTGCAATCAACTTGTCGAGTTCTTTCAACGCTCGTGTTTCTCCTCCACGATGGGGTGTGGTCGCAGGTGGGAAGCCCAGTTCCTCCATTGTTTCAATGGCAAAGTCATCGTTAGGCCCTGCTATCCTGGTGTAAGCTTCATCTCCTTCTGTCCGAAATCCTGCATTGAAATCTGGCTCGGTATTCGGTTCGTCCTGCTCAAAGTTGACGGGCATGTCTCCTGGATCCGGAAGATGTTTGGGAGCAGGAATGGGTTTCCGGATCTCCCCAAGCTTGCTCCCGGCAGTTTGAAGCTGCGTGATAGACATTGTTGGCTTTCCGCCATGCTTCTCGACTATCTGGTCACTATCCCATAACGTCCTGCCCGAACGAACAAGGACTTCGACACCGGCATCTTTAGCCGCCTGGACGACAACGCTATCTCTCTCGCGACCATAACTGTCTGTGTCTTTTTCGAAGACCAGGTGAGTGACCTTCCATGCTTTAAAGAGCTTGGGAAACAGAGTCTGCGGTGCTTCTCTGAGAACAAAGAGTTTTGACTTGGGGTTCACCTGTGAAATAGATCGGGAGAGGTCATTCTGGCAATCCAGGCTTAACTTCGTCAGAACAACTGCAAATCAAGGAGCAACTTCTCTCTCTCTCTTCTTCTTACAGAAACTGCCATCTATTAAGGCCTCCTCTCGCACGGTATACGTAATGAGGATCCCACGTAAAGATGGGCCAAAGAACAGCTGGATCAAGGTCTAGGGCTGCTTTGAGAGCAGGTGAATCGTGAAGTCGCAAATCTGTTCGGAACCAATAAATCACACGAGGTTTTGCCATACTCGGAATTTGGTGCAATATTGTCGTAATACGAAGCCGAGATCATTGAGAAGTTGGGCATATCACTTTCAGATGCATTTCCTAGTCGAAAAGTCATGATGTCAACACTTGTCAGACCCCAGCCACCGGCTTTGTGGCCAGTCAGGACACTCAGCTAACTTAGTGTTTTGGGACAATCAGAAAAAGCACGTTAATTAGGTGGCTACACATTATGGCAAATTTGTCTATTCATACGTTCAGTTTGTTTACTAACGCAAGTCGTGATGCTTTGTAGTCCTTCGAACCATACACAGCCTTCTGAATAGGGCCTAATGATTATGCTGCTCTTGCAGTAACACAAAGGTAATGAGATTGGAACTCAAGAATATGACATACTCGGGTCAATTGTGACATAAAATCATGCAGCTTCACAATTAATGGAAAATACTTTTGATTATCTACCTATTTTTTTGTGTAGTTCCTTGAGGGGGAGATGCTCAGCTGTTTTGCCTGCCATACAATACCTATATTAAGTCTAATGTCTATGTCAGGATTTGAACTGAATTGCGGACGGCGGAGGTTATTGTTTGATTGCATCTTGTCAACCAGGCAATGATGGAATCCGTCAACAACGTCCCCAAATCAGACAACGAGCATATGGAAAGTCGGCCACTTCACCATCAAACTTACTTAGCCTTGGGTGAAACGCCATGACTACAAAGACATGATCAGAAAAACGAGACCATGAGACGTACTCCATACACAGTGAGACTTGAGCCGGACCTACAATGGCCTCTACAGTGCAAAGAGTTCGGTTTACCAATAGTCTCGCCAATAGTCTGCCGTCGGTGAGTCCCAAGACGGTGGACCATTCTAGGCGGACAGGGCGGAACGTACATTTACAAATCGTGGTTGTGTATCAATTCGCTGAAGAACGAGCTCATCCCTTTTCAAGGGAGTCGCCACAGCAGCCGTGATACAGCACGTGGGCGACGTTATTCTGGTGCTGCTATTCAGTTGCTCTTGTTAAGGAGTTTCCAACTGTAGCCGAGACATAAATGTCTTATCCCTGGGCCCCAACTCTCACATATACCGTGTCTCACTTGCGGCACAATCGCCCGAGCATTCGCGTGAGACAATAGGATACGATTTGGCTTGAGGATGGAGTAAGTATGATGTCTGCTTTGTTTTCTTCCTTGCCAGGTCTAATACAAGACAACACTATTAGCAAGTAGCCTTTTGATCAACTTATTAGTTAGCAACGGATCTGGGAGTGTGCATCTGCGGGTCTTACACATGCAGGTAATGTTTGAATTAGCATTCATTTCCCATAACAGCAAATAGCTTTGTGCTGAGTGCCCCGTCGACTATTGAGAACGGCGGCAATGGGTAATGCAGCCACATGTAAGCGGTATCATTTGCATCCACATGAAAATCATTATTCTGTCAAATTGCATGTTATAAATCAGCTGCAAGTCTCTCCACATGTTGAAGGTGGAGACCAAAGTAAACAAAACAATTCCAACCAAACAAACAAATAAAAAAAGACAAGTAAACACCAGTTCCTGAGTCCTTTTGCAGCACACGCTATTCTAACGCTGAAATCTGCCAACGTTAGTATAGGCCGTTGATTCTCCTCGACATTAAATAATTGCAACTGAAGAGGAAACGGTAGGGAGACAAATAGGATAGGTAAAATAACTGATATCCTTCTCATAGTCAAAATGAAATGCTCAGCATTTATGAAGATCCATAAAGAAATCTCGACCACAGCAACAGTTAAACAGTAGCGCCGGAAGAACTGACTGAGAAAGGGAGCTGGCATACTGGAAACATCAGCTATGCGTTTATGGCGGACATCAGATAAATCTCACCGAGCTGCAGCCAGTCAATGATGACGTCGACAGAGACAAGACGGGCGCTGCTGTACTCGTGCCCGACGCCGAGGTGTATTGGTGACCTTAGCGAAGCATGGCATCGTTCGCGGCTCGAGATGGAAGACTGTGACTCCTATGACAACGGAAGCGTGTACTATCAAGTTCAGGTGCATGCTCGGCAGATCCACATTGTGAGTGCATATGACTGTGTACGTGTACGATGCTAAAAAGGCCCGAGAGAGTCTAGTTCACTTATACATCACGCAACTGGAACTTAGTACTGATACAATAGACCCTCGATAGGACGCGATGCGGTTATGGGCAAGCCACCACCGGAGCCTATAAATTGACTAACACAGGTCCAGGACAGACGGCTGACCTGGGTTGTGTCCATTATAGTCTGCGGGCGTAGTAGCTCAGAGCACAATAGATAGCATTTGGAGATGTGGGTGTGGACACGGCATTGTAAAGCAATATCGGTAGTGATCAGATCTAGATTCAAGCATCCTGATCAAGAAAGAGAAGAAAATCTCCTCTGTCCATCGCAAGCCAATGCTACATCAAATTGGGTTGTGAGGCGAGATGTTTTACTCCCGTAGACTACCTGAATACACACACAATGGCAAGACACGCGAGTGTGCAAGAGGTTGGTGGTACCCTATTATTAGAGCCTTTGAATCTCAAATGCAATGCGGGGCTGGAGCAAGCGAGTGAGTGAGTGATCGACGGCCAGTTACCAGGCCTGCTAGGCTTGCATCATTCAAGAACTGGTCTCCATGATGGCTTAGGCGCAGAATGAAGGGTTCTCATATAGGACATCTGGCTTGTTACCGTTACATTCACAAACTTAGAAATAAACCGCGGGACACAGTTCACTGGTAGCAATGGGGAACTCTGATGAACGAACGCCCTGAGTGAAAAGAAGAAACAGAATGATCCGCGATCGCCAATCATACATGGCTTGGGCCCTGTCGAGATTTCCCCGGAAATACCGCGACGAGGGTCACCCTACATCCAGGTTTTCGTCATACCACAGAAACACACCAGGGCGCAAGGGATGCGTCTCCTGTTTTCAGAGCACCTTGCTTGCGAAATAGTTTGTTCGGTGCACAGATGAAGGGACTGAAAGGCTCGGTAAACCCGGAGGATCCGCTAGGAGCAAATTAAGGCTGAGTAACACTGTCACTCGCAGTCAAGCAAGTCTATGAACGTGTCGCCCAGCAGCTCGGAAAAGCAAGGGCCAGAATTCAATTTCATCGGCAGTCAGACACGGATCAGATGGAGATGGGCCGTCTGAAAAACAGAATCAATAAATGTGTTCCGAGTGATTTGTATGGAGCGGCTTGATGTCGCAGATAAGAGGTGAGGTAGTATGACTATGAGCAAGGGGACAATAGGTAAGGCTAGGAAAAGTAACATGCCCGACGCGAACTCGAAACTAAGACAAGGGCGATATTAACACTTCAAAACAGTCTCGTACTGAGCTGTATGAAATGTCTTTCAGCAAACTAGTCAGGAGGGCCAATGTCAAACAACAAACAATGGGCAGAACAAAGGCAATTTCGGTGAGCAGAGTGTGATGACCTCAGCGGGGCATTTCTCAGGGTCTGGTCTATCAGAGACAAAGCAAGGAACTTCTGGAAGCAAGGGAGACAAGAGCATGGAGGTCAAAGTGTCATGAGGCGGTTGCGATATAGCAACCAGAGCGAAACGAGCACAATAATCAGGGCCGCAGCTGGTGATTTCGGGTCACTGAACAGGCCCGTGCTGGGTTCCAGCTCTGAGCTTCAAAGTCATTTCTTTGTTTTTCCTGCATCACCTTTTAAAACCAAGGCGTTATTTGCTTGTGCTGTGCATGAGGGAGCCAGCCACATATGGAGGCAGGGGTCTGTCACTTTTAATATCTATACCTTGGTAATTTACCTGACATCGAAAAATAGGGCGCTGGCAGCGCACCTTACGATACTTCAGTTGTATGTATCTTGGCTTCCATATCCTCTGAAATCTCGGTGAAGAAGCCTCACAAGTAACAACGAGCGCCAACTTTGTGTGCCACGTTTTCTCCCTCCCATGTCATCGGGGACGAAGAGGGATTTCCAAATGGTTGACTCAAAAATGCATGGGGAACTAGGGTATCAGCGGAAAGAAGATGAAACAGTAACCGGGATCTGGGATGCTCGTGCTTTCGTGGCATGGGTTCATTGTCGGTATTTGCTGCGAATATCTAAATATTCAGCTACTTACTGACCTCCTTCATTTTTTTTTTTTTTTAGCCCAGACAGCCAATCTAATTATTGCCATGCTGTCCTGGTAGGTTTGTCAGAATTAGAGAGTCATTCCTTAATATCAGGATCTATCCCCTTACTGAGTACGATTTCATCGATCTTCGATTCATGACTCGATGATGAGTGGCCGCTCTGATAAGATTTCACAGTTTACGTTGAGAACGCCAGATTGAATGATTCACCGTCGCTATTTACTCTCCCCAATGTCGACTCTATGATACAACCTCATGTCAACAAATAACAAACTTGGTCTCACAACTCAAAATTTATCATCTTGGATTAGATCGATGAATCTAACTCTAACAAGGCTAGAGTCAGGTACCCGATCCCAGTGTCCAATGAAGGCGTCAGCAGTTAGATTAAAAGAGGGCCCCCTCGGCTCTTAATGGCACACACTTTGCAGTGTGGTTGCGTGGAGGCAGTGGGGAAGACAGAGGCTTCATTGGCATGGCTAGGCCTCAATTATACTAGCCAGAGGAAATAGGGCTTGAGGGCTTGAGTTTTTGGTCCTATGGGCTGGGCGATCGATGCCCGTTCGAGAGTTGAGTTTTGGAAACCGTTGGACTTTTGCTGGTAGTGGAAGCTGGGAGAGAGACCAGGATGTGCTACAGTAAGCTTGTGAAAGTATTAAGTTAAGGTGGTGAGGGCATCCCAATTGCACCTCCTTGTGTGTGTGGCTCTGGTGATAAAACACACTCTGCAGAGGGCACAGCCAAACAATGCTAACATTTACTTATATCTGCCAACATACTATTTAAATAATGCGAGAATTGAAAAATCATCCAGACATCCAACTTGCCTACAGTATGTATAACAAAAACCAGCTGTTTACCCACTTAGACCGGCTTCTCCACCAGTC